TGAAGATTGAATTCTAGGGGATTCCATGTTTTAGGGACCTCTCCTTGCCCAAGTACAGGCAAATCCGTCGTCTCGAAACCACCATTATTCAACTGGATCAGTGCAGTACTACTGTTCATGCTTGTATCATCAATATTGATGCTAGGCAAAGGTGACTTGAAAACAAAATTGGATGGAGATAGAGAGGCAAGTGGAACAGAACAGGAAGATTGCTTTATGGGGTGCAAATTTGGAGCTGATACAGATAGCTTAGAGGAGATCTTGGCAGGTGATAAAGAAGATGAGGGCGAAAAAATTGCAGTAGCATTTTTCTTTTGCTGTTCTTCTAGCCTGATCTTTTCAAGTTGTGCAACACCTAGCCCTCTTTGAGGAGCTCTCCTTTGTTTTGACTTCCTATTGGAACCGAACCCTAAACTACCATCACCACCACCATTATCATGAGTTTGATATTCTTGTGCCATTCTTGCAATCTTCCATCTAATTTTTATCTACTCCCAAAATATCACTCCATAAAATTTGACACAAACCCTAAATTCAAACACGGATATAGACCGTAACTTTTTTGACATTTCAGTAGAGCTCAAAATCACTGGCGTATTTCATATATCTCAATCACTCTGTTCTAATGCACTTCCATTCACGTTTTGAAAATCACTTCAAAAATCCACAACTCCTTTAATCCATCGGAGAGCAATGCAAATCAAAATCCAAATGAAGTAAGATAACAATCTGAAGAACTTACCCGGCTGTTCAACGGAAGAGATCGAATGAGGAAGAATTTTCGGATTTTTCTCGATCCAGTTGCTTCTTGTCTGTGAGGAAATCAAACTCGAAAAATGTGGAAGGGCTCCATAACATGTTTTCAGGAAAGTTAAATCGGGCAAATCTAAAAGCGCCATAAATAGTAGTGCTCTTTGCGCTCTTTTTTGCCGCCCGAATCCTCGGTCTAACTCATCCACTTCCTTCCTAGACCCTGAAAATTCTCACTCTGTTCTTCCCTCTCTCTCTCAAATTATGGTTACAATTCTCTTAATTTAAAGAAATGACCAATTATCACTTCATTTTACTTCTCAACATTCCTTTGTTCTTCATGGTTTGAAGGATGAACGTTCCTCTAGTTCAAATAAAGAGTGAGATTATGAACACTTCAGATATCTTCGGGTAAAAAACATTGTATATTTAATTTAATAATTAAAGACACTGTTTTATTTTTTTTATTTTTTTGTTTCATATAATAAATATATTTATGGTTGGAAGATAAAAGTCTACCAAGGGAATGATAATGAGTTTATAATCAATAAATATTTTCTCCATTGCTGCTATGAACGCTTATACTAAAAATGGATTATATTATATCATTGTAGAGAGAGTCGAGTTCATCTAACATGATATTAAAGTCATGTCAGATGAAAGTCGCACATTGACTAATTTATGGAATTATTATGGAACCTTTATAATTTTTATAAGATAATAAAATAATTAATATTTTTTTTAACTCTACAAATGGCAGTTTCCAATTCCAATGCGCGCGCGCGCCTCTTCTTCATCACTCCGCCATTAGAGGGGCGATCATTCATCTTCCGGAGATGAAACCGCGGCTTCGTTTTGATTCAGCTGTCAGCTCCAAAATCATGTACTTCGACGGAGCCATGCTTCTTCTCTCTTTTCGTTTTCTTGCATTCTACCTAACCTTCTATTTCTACTCCCTCTCGCCTCCGGTGTTTGGCGCTGTTTGTTGCTTGTCCTCTGGTAAGCTCCTGTTCTATTTTAAGATTATTTTGTCTTTTATCTCTCTGTAATTTTTTTGTTGCATTTTGTGAAATTCAATCGAGGCAGAATCATCATCCGGTTTAATGGTGAGGATGAGGGAGAGTTGTGATTTTGTCTTAGAGTTTGTATTGATTGTGTCTTATTTGTCCAGTAGAGTATATAATCTATTTGTTATAATGTCTGGAAGAGAAGGAGTACGAGCCTCTAATTTATACACTCTGCAATTTCCATTTTGAGTATCATTCTGGTTGAATACGGATGAGTTCAGCAAATTGTTTTTGGACAATATTCTAGCAACCCAAGGTGAAACATGTTACAAGCAATGGATAACAAATTAGCTTTCTCTTTAATTTGTTATCTTTTGAAGATAAGAATGAAGAGTATAGAAATAGTTTTTCATCATTCTTTCTAGTGGTAGCCTTCCCATAAACTTGGGGTAGAAATAACGAAAAAAGAAAGCTGTGAAAGCAGAATGGAAATGTCAAGAATTCAGTTTGGCTTCATACTCTATATATTTAGAGCCAGTTCTGATTGAATTCATCTCTAGTTCTTCATGCTCCTAGAATGACCATAAACTTCAGTGATCCAAAATTGATAGCCATCTGGGAGGGTCAGGTGTGTGGTGAGAGTAAACAAACCTTCGGTCACCTCAGAGATAAGATAACATGGGTCGTTTCACCTGATGAGAATACCCCACGAGGAGCCACTAGCAGCATCCAAGGATGTCTAGCTAATATGCTCCACTCCAAAGAGATTTGATTCTCCATCTATCGATGGTATGCAACTTAGTTTCTTGAATAATAACCAAAGTGGGGTTTAATCTGAGGAGAAAAGTTTTGATTAAAGTCCTTTTTTAGCTATCTCCAACGCATCCGCCATTCCAAGAACTAACGATCGTAAAATGGGGTTGCCACCCTTCGAAGAGCTTAGATGACGATTTGCCATAGTTCACATTGGTAACGGGGCCTGCAAGCTCTCTAACTTTCTTCTTCTGCTTTTGTACTATTTTGGTTCTCTTATTGGTGGTGGTATAGGCATAACGCACAAATGATACTCCTGTAACCAAGGAACAATAACATGCATGGCCTCAGCATGTGAAATGGGTCAGGGGGCTGTAGCTCCTCTTCTAATTCAGGCTCGGGATCGAGATAGAGGGTGCCAACCTCGGAATTTGATAATTGAATTTGTTCATTAGAGGGAGGGAGAGGAGTTTTTTAGGCTACCATACCAAGGATGGTGGAGTAGAAGAGAGAGGGAGAGTGCTAGAGACAAAAATCATCATCTATTTTTGTGGTTAATGGTCACCGCTAAATTTTCAGGCGAAGGGCGAAAGGCGAGAGATCGGGTAAAATTTATGTAGAGCATGGATGGTGGTGATGGCAAGTGGGGTTGGATTTGGACGGTCAACTGAGGCAAAGGGGAAGAGATGGGCTTTATAGTTTTAGGAGGTGAGCCTAGCTTTTATGTACTAGTCTCAGGCCTTTTTGGGAGACGTGGGATTTTTGGTCCATGAGGGGGACGAGCTTTGATAGGAGGGGACAAAAGAGTTATCATTGCTTAGGGAGGGTGGGTCAGCTATTAGGTACACCGATGGTGGCTGTACAGTAGAAATGTCAGGTAAAGGAAGACAAAAAAGGACAGTGGTGTCGGCGATAGACACGATGGATTGGGGGATAGAGACTTGTTAGCAATGGGTTGCATTTCTGAAGGAGACGAACCCGGGAATACTCCAGCGGCGGCCCTTTTCCATGAACCCTTTTAAAACAAACCCACCAAGTAATTTGAAATGACAAAAGGATCAATCTGAACCATTAGTGGCAACGTAGATGAGGACGAAATAGCAACTTTTTATAGGATAAATTCCCGATTTGTTTTCCATAGTCTTGAAGTCTTTTTAGACAAAGCCTCTACAAACTTATTTCGTATATCAAAGGAATTGGGCCGTTTGTTTTACATTTTGGGATGGTAAAAGGAAAAGGGAAGTGGGAAGAGTTGGGAAGAGTTTTGTGAACCATGTTTGGAGAAGGATTTTAAAACTTTGCATGGGAAGAAGTCTTTTCACAGATATAAAAAATGGCTTTTATGCAATTTTTAAGCCTATGTTTCCTTTTTGTTATTTTATTTTATTATTATTATTATTATTATTATGTATTATTTCTTCCTTCAATGATTTATTTTTCTCGATTTTCTTTCATTTTTTAATTCTTTTATTTTCTTGGGCATGAGCTTAGGCATTCCAGGACCATGTTTGTTTTAAAGTTTTAATTTCTTCCATCATCTTAAATTCTTTGAAAAACTTGAGTTTTCTTCTCTTCATTTATTTTTCATTTTTATTTGTGATTTTATTTTACATATCCATAATTAATTAATCAATTAGTTATCTTGGTTTATCAAAATTAATTATTTAATTAGAGTAAATCAATAATAATTTGTTTAAATATATATATAATTCATTTTTACAAATAAAAGTTTACTAAACAAATGAATTAATTAGTTAACTTACTATATTAATATTTTAATTATCAATAATTATTACTAATCACTAATTAATTATAAATAATTATATATTGGGACTCATCTTGATTAGCTCATTCATTAATATATCATAATTTTAAAGTATAATTAGTCATTCAAATAGAAATTGTAAGTGATAATAAAGAACTATAATTAATTAAAATTAATTAAGTATTTTATTATAATAATTATTTTAAATATGTTAAACTAATTCTCCAACCACATGAGACTCCAAAGAGTTTATGGAACAAAGTTTTGTAAAAATTTTTACAATATTTTCTTCATAAAGTTAAAAAAATGAACTTTCAAACATGGGGTAACTTAAGAACACAAGTTAAAATAAGGAGGAATGTTGGAAGATAAATAATATTTAAACCTTTATTATTATTACCTTTAATTAAATCAATTATGGACTCTAAGTTTGCCTTGGTTCATTGACGAGATTTCTTAAATTAATACGTGCTCAAATTATCATATCATTAAAGAATTGACTATATTATACTGTATTGCCACTCGCTTTACTATACATCCCATCATCTGTTCAGATTGTTCTATGATCAAAAGCAAATTCTAAAAGATATCTGAACTCCTGTAGGTACTATATAATACTGACAGTTTAAAGAACGAAGTATAGGACTCATTTATTTAAGCTGTTTTTCCTAAATAAATGTGGGAACTCTTTGCCCCTTTTTGATTGAAATGGATTTCTTCTTTAAGTATGAAAATTAAGCAAATAAATCAATGCAGAGAGGCTCCATATCAGTTGGTAGAACAAGAGGCATATTTTACACCTATTGGCAAACAAGAGTTGCTTTATCAGCTTGAAATCAGTTCCTGTTTTTGTCTGCAAATAAATAAGTCTTTAAAGGAGTATTGTGAAGTTTCTGTTGAGTCATTCTAAAGGTGAACCCATCTGCAGTGGAGGGCGAACTCCTTAGATCTAAGTCCGGCTTCATAGAGCCTTGACAAAGAGCACTGGGGATGGAGCTGGAAGGATAGATGGATTGCAGATGGCCATAGGAGATACGAGCCAATACTCACCCCACCATTCCAAAGAAGGTGCAGGTGAAGCAATCAGGCATACTCAATAATAAAGTGACTTATCAACTGGGGTCGAGGGACTCAAATTCAGCCAGACATTCTCCGTCGAACAGCAAGTGGAGTTTGAAGGCCAGAGATTCAATGTACCCAACTGCTGAAACAAGCTACAAGAAGCTGAAGGTCATTTCTGTAGATAATCAACCAACCCAGAATCCACAGCTGACAATGACATTCAATGATATGAAATTGGTATTCCTCACAATAATTTCACTGCTTGCTTTCTAGTGTGAATCTCTATTATTTTGCCTAACAAGAAAAAACCCTTGGTCTTCCATGAAAAAATATGCTTTATACTTCCATCATAACCTTATCCTAGGCATTTCCTTGATTAGTTTGCGATTCTCAAGAAAGAAGAAGACAGAGTGTCTGAACCTTAGAGGTCTCATTTGCACTTTCCTTGCTCTGTGTTTATTGCTCTGCATATACTGAATTAAAGAAGCACCAACTAAAGCTGAGCATTGTCGCTATCTCCACATGAGACAATTTTTTTTATCCAAGAGTCTGCAACATAGAGAGAAAGACAGAGAGAGAGAGAGAGGAACATTCCAGCTAGATTCTGAAATTTAACAGGGTTGGGGACCATAGACAGATGGTGAAGCAACTTAATTAGGTGGTATCCATCTGTATATTCTTCTATAATTGGGCATTTTTGTGTTCATACCCTTCTTTCTTGGTTGTCCAGTAGATTTACTCCACTCTGCCCCACTTGATCTACCAGCCACGATATCCATCACACTCGTATTGAATATGGTGCAACATTTCAGATTCCTCTACCACAGGATCTTATTGAGTTCTAATCAGTTCCCTTTTCTCTATCAAAACCTACAACTCATTGTTTCAGAAGGAAATACTAGCCCTTAATACCAAGACTTAGAAACAGGAATCCAATTCTCCTAATTCGGGTACAATAGGATCCCCGAGACTGGTGATAAGCTTCAACTTGAGGTTGAGATAAGAACAGAATCTTAGTGCTGATGGATTTATGAGAATCAGCCTTCCTGTGCTTTCCTTTTCATACTAGAATTCAGATTCCAAGTTTATCATTCGAGGAGGCTGAAAGGAAAGCCACAACGCACTGTTGCCATAATACTTTGCCAATTTTGTGATCAAAATTTCTGAATTTGATCGCTCAGGATTAGGAGGCAAACCTTAGGACTTGCTGAATTTCTGAGCTCGAAAACTTCAAGCAATTATCTACTGTTCTTGGAAAATGACTTGTCATTTGCTAACATGCCCCAAAATCCAAGCAATGAAAGAGAAGTGAAAGATTTATTCTAATAATTCTTTCTGCAGGTTTTAAGGAAGATGTTGAGGCAAAACACCTCTCTCTTGGAATTCACTCGAGCAGACTTCATAGTTGCAGGAAATAGCAATTAGCTTATGCAATCTAGACAACAGCTTAGCTCCTTTAAACAGGTAAAAGATACCGATTATTCCTCTAGTTTTCGCAACAAGAAAGCATCCACCAACTTTAACCAAAGTTGATAAGCATAAAGTCCAGATATGCCTAAAACTTAAAAATCTCTAGTCTTTTACTACAGAATTATGCTGTTATGCATAGAATTAAGGGGGACCATACCACAAACAGGCTCAGTAGTTTCCTGCTTCGAAGGGGAAAGTAAAGAATCCCAGAGAAACTAAAACTGAAATATTGATTAAAAAAGTAGTTATAATAATCAAAGTCTTGCTACATAAACAAAACGAAAGACAGTTTCATCGTTGGATTAAACAAATATTAGAACTAAGAGTCCTTTTTTTTTTCCAGCATGAAATAACATAATCAACTGACAGAAGATAAATAAACCATGGACCATAAGACCTGAAAAACTCTCAGATTCAGTACTTCCATGGTAAAGGCCATTGAAACAAAAACGACCCAAAATTCTACCCTCTTGAGAGCCATGCGGTGGCTTGACTGCAGGTGCTGCTAACCTTGGCTTTCTGATTGAAGATGCACACCTGCAATAACATAATCGTCTAAAGTAGGAGAAAATCTGAGGTTAGACCAACTGTGTTGAGGATCAGATAAATTTGAGAACTGGGTTTCGAAGTTAGGACCTGTTGACGGAGAAATCTTGGGATTTTGATCTAATCAATGGCGAGAATCAGAGGAAGCAGAGGATGGCTTGTCTGAAATGCCATTGTGCTCCTCATCACCTTGAATTCGCGTTGGAATGTGAAACCCGGAGAACCCGCCTGAGGCGAATCCTAAACTTGTGTAGGAAGATTGGTGGATCGATGGTGGCATGTGATGCTGTTGATGATCAGTAGCTGTAAGTGATTGATCAATCCAAGCGCGAATTGAAGGTGTGTTACTGGACTGAAGGGGTCCCCTCTGAGAAAAAAACTGGTTTTCACCAAATAATGGCTGCATAAGTGACGACGGTGGCAGTGCAGTTGACAAGTGAGGCGAGTTGAAGACATATCCTGCACTTCTAATCGCAGCTCCGCCATGGCCACTGCTGCCGCTACTACCAGTTTCTGCACCAGATGCATTCCAGGAAGTTATCCTCGGGAACCGGCTAATCTCCGCCGGATTGAGGTTGTTGTGCTCAGACCAACCAGCGGTGGTCACATCAAACCCACTTAATGTGGCGGTGCCGGGGAATAAAACGTGATCATTCTGATGACCTTGACTCTGGTGCTGAGCATGATGGTGCCGGTGAATAGCTATTGGGTCTTGAAAAGATTGCAAAGAAAGACGCAGATCTTGGTTCTGGCTACTCGTCCTGGAAAGCAAATCTTGTGGGAAATTCTGGAACTGAATGGACGATGAGGTGGTCTCCGCCGCCGCCGTGCCAACGGGGAAGAAGGACTTGATGGTATCAGCAATGGAGTCCGAGTCCAACGACGGTGGGAGAAAGCTCGAGGTGCTGTTATTTGGGCCTCCCCCCATTTGGGTATGCTGCAAGTTTTGCAGAGGAAACTCTGAAACTCTGCTGTGGCTCCCCACCACCGAAGCTCTCCGATTACCGGTTGGACTGAAGACATCACGTTGGACAGAAAGTAGACTCTCGTTCTCATCGTTTAGGCTCTGCTGCTCCTGCCGCTGTGTGGATGCGTTAGCTGTGCTCGGATTCCATGCAGGGAGCTCGGCGAGCTCGTCAATGGAGGCCTTGGCCTTTTTGATAAGCCAGTCTACAGCTTTACTGGGTCGGTCGTAGCCGAGGCGGTCTTGAACATCGTAGAACTGGATGGCGGTATGGGCCGAGAGGCGAACCCGGCGGTCTCTTGTGCCTTTGGCGGTGCAAACTTTGCTGTGACGATCTTTTCTTCCAGTGGAACGAACAATGTGGCCTCCTTGAACCTCCACGATCTCGCCGCCGCCCCCGCCGGTTCTCATCCCCAGCCTTGACGACGTTGTTGTTTGGCGGTGGCTCTCACCCATTTTTCTCGCATATTCGATGCTCTGGTCGGCAAAAGTGGAGGCAGAGGCGGCAGGTGCCGCCACAGGATGAGGAGGAGGAAGCTGAAAGTAAGAGCGTTTCTTGGGGGCTTGCTGCTGGTGGGTTTGTTGTTGTTGTGACTGTGAATCTAAAGCTGCGTAGTAATTTTGTAGACTTTGGTCGTCTTGGTGGGTGTTTTGAAGAAAAAGATGCTGATCCTGGTGCACATTGAAGGGCTGCGATTGCTGCTGATGGAGGTTATGGTGGTCTTGGCGGTGGTGGGGCGGAGAATCTTGGTCGTCTTCCTCCTCTTTTCCTTCTACATGCCTCGAATTTAGAATCTGGTTCTGATGATGATGATGGCGATTTCCTTGAGGATCCAGACTCGGACTGTTTTGCTTTCCTTCTTCCAGCTTTAAATGGGCAGTGCTTTTTTCCTAATCTTAATGGCTTCTTTTATCCTCTTCTCTCTCCTCTCTCTCCCCTTCTCCTTTCTGCAATTGCTGCTGCTGCCACCACTCTGAAACCTGTTGCTTCTGCTGCTGCTGAAGATTCTGCCGCCTCGTCTGCCTCTCCCAAAAAGTTCTGCCATTCATTTTTTTCACTTCCATCCCCCATTCCCTCCCCAACTATTCCCCAATACTGAAAATCCAATACCAAAACCACAACCAGAAGCCTAAACCCAGTTCAATTCCACAGCCTAACCCATCTCTCACGCTCTCTCTCTGTCTCTCTCTCCTCCCACTTTCTCTCTCTGCTTCAGCACAGCTTTTGAGAGTTATGTCCCTTTATGTGATAGATACCCACTTGACCAGGAAAACCCCAGATCACTTTACACAATCCCCTTCCTCCCCAATTCCTTTAACGGTCTGGTTGGGCAATTCTCTTTCTACATGAGATATTTATAGAGACAGAGCCTGTGATAGGTGTTCTTTCTCTGGCTACGGATTGTTTGGAAGCTATGGAAATTGAATGGAACAGTACATCATCAAGGCTACAAAGGAAAACAAGAGACCCAATCGAGGTCTTTAATGGTGGCAGCAGCAGCAGCAGCAGCGGACAGTGGAACTTAGCCTACTGCTCTGCTCGTAAAGAAGATCGTAAAGATCTCTGCCAATATCATTACTGAATTTGCTGCGATAGTTTGTACTACAGCAATCCCTCCCGATAGATTATTTTCTGCCAAAATCTTCTTTTTTCTATTCAATTATTGGTTTATTTAACTTTATGCTGTCTAATACAATACCCTTTCTCTCTCTACAAAACTTGTGGCTTTGGAGCTGTTTATTTCCATTCAGTTTTCTTATGCCTCTCTGACATTAGATCTTCAAAAATAAATTCCAACTTCAAAAGGGGTTAATAATTGATAGGAACATATTGAAAACTCTGACATGGGTTTCTTCACAAGTGGAGAATCATTAGTTCATGTTGAAATGGGAATAACCTTTTATTTGTCCTTCTTTATCTCTTTTTTTTTTTTTTTTTCTCCTTCTTCCCTTTATTTCCAAAGTAGAACCGAGGTGGAGAGATTTAAAACTACGTAGAATCTTCAAACTGTTGTACCCTACCTTCTCAAGTCAAATGACTCACTCCTTCCCTTGGCCTTGCCTTCTAATTCCCATTTGGTTTCAATTGACATAGTTGATTCTGTAATTTACATAACCATTGCTTTATTTGCATATATGTCGTTGTTGTGTTTTTTGGTGAATAATATGAAGAAAGTCCTTCAATGATGTTATTGAAGCTTTATTTCCATTTGCAGTGACAGTTATTGGATATTAACTTTTAGCAGCGACATGTTTTTAACCGCTTTGCTGAAAATATAGTTACTGAATCGACCATTTCAACTGTGGAAGTAGTAGTGGTAGTGGTGAATAATGGGTGTGCCAGAAAAACATAAAAGAAAAATTGTCCTTTCTGTGTGTAGAAGGGGGAAGGGAAATGAATTGGAAAGAGAAGATTGAAGAGTTCTTAGCTGAATTCAAATTAACTGACTCACTTATTATTTTCATTTCACAGTTTTTGATAGGCTGGAAAGCAGTTTTGGCTATAGCTTTTGGCTGAGCTCTCTCTCTCAGGTACTTGTCTCAATCCTTTGGTAGATTGTATCTAATTATATGCATATTGCCCTTNGTTTCTCTCTCTTTTACTCCCCTTATTATGACCTCTCTGTGTTTTGTTGTCTTTCTAAAACACCTTTAATGGCTGCCCTCTCTCTCTCCCTCTCTCTCTCTACAAAGCTTTTATGATGGGTCTCCTCTGTTTCTCTTGCTTCACTTGGAAGAAAAAAGTTACTTTTTTTAAAATTAAAAAAAAAAAAAAAAAAAAAAATCCTGGTTTGATTGAAAAAACTCATCTCTACTTGTTTCTTGTTTTTTTTCTCCCTTTTTCATTCTTAAATGAAAGGGAGAGATACACAGATATTGATGATTTTTGTGGATAATTTCACTGATTCTTCTTATTTTTAGGTAAAAAAAAAAAAAAAAAAAAGTTTTTAAAAGTTTAGTTTTTGTTCTTTNAGATTATTTACAGTTCATTAGGTTGTTTTAGATTTGTCATAATTTAGTGTATTGTGAAAATTCTCATCAAAATTAAGTGCTTATTTAGCTCATAACATATTTGGTTAGACAATAATTGTCATAAATTTGAAAGTAATAGGTTGAAATCTAATTCTAAGTTTTTTTTTTTTTTCTCTTTACAAATTTCAATATGCCAATTATTTTTTACAATTTTTGGTTTTTATATTTCATACAGTAGCATATGAATTAATTTCTCAATAAAATGAGGGAATAACTAACGTTTAAGCATCTTTTATATATAAAAAAAAATAATAATAATAATAAATTCTCAACAAAATCCTATTTATTCTATTTAAATGATTATATAATTTTAAAAAAATAATTATATATATATAATAATTTTTTAAGATAAAAAATAATTCAGTTGACTTTAGCTTCCCTTGATGCTATTTAGATTCGTAGCTCTACCTTTTACTAAAAGTTTTTATTTTATTTAAGTAATTTTATATTTTTATTTTATTTTAAATAATGGTTCTACGAGACAAAAAATGCGTGATTGGATCTACTGTTTACTTTTGAGATTTGATTTTTTTTTTTTTTTTGGAAATAATAAGTTAATTTTTTTTTTTTTCCCTTTTAACTTTCATACAAACTTTGAATTAAATTTAAAGGAAAAGATTTTATACCAATTAGATCTACAAATTAATAATTATAATTCTTTTGACCTCATTTCATTTAACAACTCAAAATCACCTAATTAAATTATTTTTCAACAAAATCTTGATAATTCGCCCTAATTAAATTGAGAAAATAGATTGTAGTGAAATTGTCATATTCCACCTCTCATAATTATAAATTAAATTTTAACTATAGTTAAAACTGATTCATTTATGAAGATTTAAAGTTTTAATTGATACAGTAATTTATTTATTTTTTTCTTTCCAAAAATTATCCTAGTTAAATTTCTAGAAATTATAAAGAAAATACCCAAAATTGGTTAAGAAAATAATAGAGTTGATGAAGTTACCCAATTTGAGAGGACAATGAAGCTTCCCTTTCAATTGTTGTGTGGGTCTTTTTCCAGTTCCCAAATCTTACTGTCTTGAAAATGGACACTTCAAAACAACCCCATATAAATTAAATCTTTTGTATAATTGGATAATTAACATTTATAGTTACTCACTCATGTTATTCTTTCTTTCTTTATTTATTTTTCTGAAAATGAATAACAGTGTTAATGGTCTCCTAAATTCATATATAAAATTTTCCAGGCATGTGAATTTTACCATTTAAAAATAACAAGAATTTCAATGAAATAACTTCTAAAATATTGAAAAATTTATTAAAGAATATTTTAAAATCAAACAAAATATTTGAATATTTTTTTTATTTTTTTCAACTAATAAATGAGACGGATCCATTGAAATAATTCTCATAAAAGCATAGCCAATAAACGAGAACAATAAATTAAATTACCGAAAAAATATATAGTATAGTAGACTAGTACCTTATTTTATTTAAATAATATATATATTTCCTATAAATCCTTTATTTTATTAAATTTGTGGGCAAAAATTCTTTTTAACAGGACATTCCAAACGTTTGACTCATAAATTAAAATGGTATATTATTCTTAGGCTACAAAATCGTACTTTTATTTAGCTTTAGCTTGTAGATTTAATTATTCTACGCTACAAATTCAATAATATTATAGAAATTAAATGCTAAAATTTAATAATTTTTTTATATAATATATAGTAGTTATTTGGGAGCCAAATTCCCTTATATTATTATTAGGTAGTTTCCTTGGTGTGGGTCAATTAGACTTAGGGTTACATTATATTAATATGTATAAATGATTTATGTACGACATGTCGGTTGACAACTTAGCAAATCCATTGTAGCCTTGTTGTACCTAGGACTACTTGTCATCGTCCCAAAATCAAGATTTCAGCCTTCAAGAACATAAACTTGGAAAATCCCAATCCCTATTCACCATTTCAATTTTGAAGTCCATCTAGTCTCATCATTTTTGCCATCTTTAAAGGATAAAAATGTCTTTTACCCTCATTTCTATTCCCGATCAAACATATTCTGTACTTGATATTTTAACCAAGACTGTGACTAGTTAGTTCAAATAATACACCGACTACATATTTCGCGTTCTGTAGGTCCCAAAAGAATCGAACCTTTTAACATTGCATTATTAGGATGTTGCTATCGAGAAACGTGATAAAAAGTCAAGATATTTGTAGGTATCTATTAAAATGTATATATTTTTTTTTTAGAAAAAAAACCTTTATTTTTTTGTTTTTTTTTTTAAATATAGACTAAATTATTAAAAAAAAAAAAACATAGTCCTATTCTTTCAAACGTTAAACAGTTAAAAGTAATTTTTTTTTTTTTTTTTTTTTTTAAGGGTTTATTGATAGTGTGTTTGGGTAAAGGATTGGATGTGTCTGCAAATGTTGTCTTGTCCCTTTCTCCTCTCCTCTCTCTCTAATTTGCATCTTTCCCCTTTTAACTTTATTATTATTATTATTATTATTTATTTATTTGATTTATTCAAAAAAAAATTAATATTTTTTTTTATGACTTTTCTTTTAAATATCTATGGATATTAATATTTTCTTGATATTTTTCTTCCTTGCTTTCAATATTTTACATTAAATTGGGTTCTTTTATTTTTATTTTATACAAATTTTATCTAAAAAATAATATTTTTTTATTGTATTTATATTAATTTAACATTTTCATAATATCAAAATTTAATTGAGAAAACCCTATTTATTATTTATTTATTAAAAAAAACATTAAAAATTGTTTGAGAGAGACAAAAATAGGGTTTGAAAATGATAATTAATAAATGTCAGAGGAGGTGAGGGCTAAAAGTAAATATGTTTGAATTAAATATTTCCAACCACATGAAATAATTTTTTTATTTTTTAATTAACTTTTTTACTTCTTTTTGTTTTTTCTCTTTCTCTATTAATTAACAAATATTTATTTATTTATTATTATTATTATTATTTGTATTTTATACATTAAATGCTTACTTAAATATTTTATAAAAATTGATCCCTCAAATTGAAAACTACGTAAGTTGGTCGACCAATTCATAAATGATGCACAGTTTAAACCAAGCCACATTCAATTAGGTACGTAAAATATTTCTAGATTTAGCCAAATTAAAAAAATTTTAATTTTTTAATTTATAATTTATATTTTATAATGATCGAGTCAACATGAGATATATGATTGAACCGAAACTTTATTCGAATGAGAACGATTCTAAAGATACAAAACTTTGGGTAAGAATTGATAGCTGCTACTCGACAAAGTGTACCTTCTTGTTTCGGTTCAATCATATAAACTTTAAAGGTAAACATGCTTGACTTGAAACAATTCTATGTTGAATGGTTTTGTAGAAATAATGTTCACCGCTAGTAAATATTGTTCGCTTTGGTCTGTTACGTATCGACGTTAGTCTCACATTTTTTTTAAAAATGCATATGTTATGGAGAAGTTTCCATACCCTTTTAAGAAATGTTTCGTTCGCATTTAAAAACGATGTGGGATCTCACATTCAAGTACAGTAGATAACGTGGTCATGTAGCAGAATATACAGGCAAATGTCGAAGTAGTTCAAGTTAAGTAGGTAACATGATCCAGAGAATACCGAGACAATCAGAATCCAAATTCTAAATCTTTGTTCAAACCTCGAGACAGTTAAAATTAAATAATTGAATTAATAATAACAAAAAAA